TGCTCAGGACAATCCAAATCTGAAGGGGAGAGGAGGTTCCATGTCCCTTGGGACTATGCAGAGCAAGTGGTATGGTGAAGCTGTGTTGCTGCTTTCTGGTACAGGGAAGATTTACAGCAACCCAGGCCATTCTCCTCAAGTATATGGCTGGTCTCTGCTGAATTTAGAGATTTCTGTTTCCACTAGTTATGAAGAAGAGCTGCATGCTTACCAAGGCCTAGACTGTACTCCTGTTTTGTCTTTATGGAAATGTATAATGGAGGAAAGAGATTCCTTTTCCCTTTGCCTTATGCTCCTTTTCCCTATGCCTTATACCACAGAGCCTGGGGCTGGAACAAAGCAGTCAAGAGTAGACTCTGCTGTTAGATACCTGGGTTTTGAATGATGGTCACAGTTTTTTGAAAGAGGCAGAGAAGGCTTCATTTCTATCTTGCTTCTATCTTGTTTCTCTTCAGTGACCTGGCTGTCGTAAATCCAGAAGCACGGACCCCACATTTCCTTGGTGACTCTCAGAGTCTCTTTCACAGTCATGATTGCTTTGGTCCATCTTTTTGAGAGATGATTTTCCCTTGGCCCATGCAAGAGCATGAAGGAGAGCTTGGAACTGTATTTCCACCATTTCCTTGCTACATGAAAAGGTCATGGTGACATGCATCACTGTTCCTGACTTCACCAGCTAGTTTTAGGGTTCAATTTGACATACATTGAATAAGTTTAGTGAGAGACAGTCCTAACTGTACCAGCAAAGCGTGGAATGTAGATGTAAACTGGTGAGATTTCCCCAAAAGCTTTTCTAGGAACTGATGCAGTAAAGCAGGAGTCGGCATACAACAGACCTTTTGCTTTCCAGTTCATCTTTCTCCCTCAAGGTCCTTCCCTGACTACAAGGCAACTGTATGTGATTGTAGACATGGTGGATCCCCACAACAATTCAGTCATAGAGCTGGGGGTGTCCTTACTACTTCTTCTACCTAGGCATAAAAGGACAGCAAATCCCAGGGCTATTCCCCAGTGCATCTCTTAAAGTCACAATGTCTGCTCAGTTTACATCTCATGTTTCAGTAGATGGGAGAGCCTGAGTGTAATGGCTGACCCAAAGTTGAGGATTCTTAGCGTACAAGTTCAGAGCACAAGGAAATCACCACCTTTGAAATCAAGAGTTGGTACATAAGGACTCTGCTTCTTTTTCCGTTCATACTAAAGGTCTCCCCTGACTTTTGCAATGTGGCATCCCTTCAGTCAGCTCATGGAAAGATAAATCACAGTATTCAAAGGGGAAGGTTTTAATGCAGAAGCTTGAACTGCTTTAAGAGTTGCTAAAAAATAAATAAATAAAATATGTTGAGAACTGTTACAAGTAACAGATGATCCCAGAGTGTTTCCAGGGCTGAGCTTGCTCCCATGCTGACTTTAGCTGCACTCTTGTGGTTTATCTTCAGCGCAGTTTCCCTGAGAAAATAATTGCAGTGCCTTTACTCTAGAGCCATGCATGTCCCAGATGAACTAGGCCTCTTTTAGCACATCAGCATTCATTGTCTGGGTGAATTAAGTGCTGTGCTAAATTATGGAAACTGCCATGCCAGTCCACATCAACAGTTGCCTCAGCCTTTCCCACCCAGTCTCTAATTTTTCCTGAACAATAAGATGTGAATCTGGAGACAGAAATGTTCAATGGAGCGTAGAATGAGGGAGAACCAAGCGTGGAAAAAACTCTGTCTGTGTGTGTGGGTGCGTGCATGTGTCCAAAGCCATGTCAATGACTTGGCCCCCCTGAGGGGCAGGACATGACTGGGGAGGATGCTATGTAAAAGCAGCTATTTCTGGTGCCCATCACTTCCAGCAGGAGCATGCTGCAATGCTTGGCACCTGGGGCAGTGACAGGAGCAGACACATAGGGATCAGCGCTTGGGTGTGAGGGAGAGGAAGAAGGACATTCCCCTGCAGCTGAGCCCCCCAGCTCCTCCGCATGGAGGGCGAGTGAAGCAAGGAGCACTTCTAGCACTTGGCTGTACCAAGCAGGGCCAAGCTTCCCACCACAGCAGTCCCAGGGGTGCACAGGACAAAGGGCTGCAGGTCTGCAGCAGCACCTGGAAAGAGCTGGCTAGCTGCAGAACAGGAGCAGGGACGCTTGTGGGGAGGCTTTGCCTTAGCTGCCAAACTGACCTGCCATGCTCTAATTCTATGTTGCTCTGAGCAAGGATTTAAATCCTCATGTGTCAGGGCATCAAGAAAAGAGGAAGCTCTGTGTGGGTGCAGCCTGTGTCACAGCTGCTGATTGCTCAGCCACTGAGGGCACCAGTGCGGTTCTCAGCTATTTCAGGGAAGAACTGCATCACTATCTGAGCCCTCATAGATGAACCTTCAAGTTACCTGCTTGAGCTGGGTCATCATTCAGTTAAGTTATTCTCTTTCTCCCCTGCACTAACAGTAGACCATAAATGAGCCTTCCTGCTTACTGTCTCCATCATCTTTTTCATGCTGCCTCATGGGTTGGAACTACAGCCTCCCTCTGACTTCTCTGTGGGCTTTCTACCCAGGATCAGCCCAGCCCTTCTTGGTTTTGGAAAGCAAGAAAAACCCAGTATGCTCACCTCAGCACAACTCACATAAGCTCAACTCCTTGGCTTTAACCTGATGAAAATTCTTCTTTTGTGGCTGATGCAATTTTTCTGTCTGACCAGCCATATTCGATGTGTGTTGAAGGCAGGTTCAGCTGGGGTGAAGAGCATATGTTGCTCTCCTAAAAAATAATTTGGTTTTTTTGGGAGATATAAATAGCTGACTTCATTGTGCTGGTCATCCACACTAGTGTTGGCACGAGGCGCATGACATCAAACTCTGAAGCAGTGATAACTAGTGCATTCTCATTTCTTTATAGAACTTTGCATGCTATGCCTGATATGGATTTTTATTCTGTCACTTGATCACTACAAAGATGCATTCATCAAATGCAATTACTGCCATATGAGCCAGTCAACAGGGAAGGTTCTTCTCATCAGTCTGCACGCTGCTGTTACAGCGACTCTATCTACAGTAGGGGAAAACAAACAGAACTTACACAAATAGATGACTTCTCCGGGCAGAAAGCATCAAGAACCACTGAACTCCTTTATGCTCTCCCTCCCAAATCACTTACTGGTGCTATGCCATGCCATTTGAGACTGGTTAGTGAGGGGTGGAAATTTGTTTCTGTCGATTATGGAAAGAGAGGAGCAGGCAAAGTACCTGAAATGCAAAATGAGGCTTCATACGGACATTACAGGTTTTATTTTCTCTGCTTCCCTTGTTACATTATATTTCAAGCCAAAGAAGTAACAGAAAGCAGTTGTGTACTTTATGGGGAGTTCTTAGTAGGTGGATACATCCCAATTCTCAGTCTAGTTCTTGTTCACAGCTCTCTGTACACACAAAGAGGCTCATCTTGCTGGGCACATTGCCTGTAAGTGCAAATGTTACTCCTTAACGTAGATGTAGTGGTCTCCATGCCCTGGCAGTTTATGCTGGTCAACATGTTCAGTGTGCCTTCCAGTCTCTGCTTTGAGAAGAGTGGAGGTTTGGCAATGGGATAGAAGCACAGTGTTGAGAGGGATTGTGAAGGGGAGACTGTGGAGCAGACTGGGAAGAAAAATGTGCCCCAGTACCAAAATTAAGGCTGATAAATACTTCAGAGTTTCAGTCTAAATCTATAGGGGACAGCAGATCCCATCCAAGGAGGCAGAGTCCAAAACTCACTGTGTAGGGAGAAATAACAGTCCCTGCCAGGTAGCCTACACGGTCAACTGGCAAGGGAAGCAGAAGCACACAAGGCAATGATGTAACTCCCAGTAGCTCCCAGGCATCAGGAGCTTATAACCACCTGGGTGTCATTAGTTGCATTAAATTGATGAGGTGATTTGGGTTTTCAAGAACGTGATTCCAAAGACTCTTGCGATCCTGCCCTTCACCACTGGCAAAGCTTGCCTTATTTTAGGGGAGATATCTTGCAGCTTTCTGAAGGCCTCACATTATTAAAGCTGTGTTTACTACATTACTGTTCATCCAATTAAAGAACTGGTGGGTTTCAGAAGGGGTTTGCCTGAATTGGTCCTATGGAAATAATCTATTTTGTGCCCTAAAAAAATGAGAGAAGAAAACAGAAGCAGTTAGAACCCCGTGTCAAATAACAGGAGAGAAATGGACCTGGAAATGAGGACCAGGATACAAAAAAGGAACAACTGGAAGGTTAAATCCTCTCCCTAATCCTATAATCTGCTCTAGCAGGATCTGGAGGGTTTTGTTGTCATCTCATATATGGTCCACAGAAATATACGTGTTCAACACTGAAAATACCAGATCTTGGCAATTCTGTTTATCATGCTAGGCAGTGCTAGTCACCATGCTCTGCTGGTTGTGACTTCCTGGTGCTGTAGCTGTTATGGTGGTGGTACAAGTTGCAGATCACCCCAAGGGAAGACTGAGGAGGTTGTGGGATACTACAGCCTACCTCACTCATAGCAGCTTGTTTTGCTGTGCTGAGCATACGCCTCTCCTTTATAGGACTATGGATCTGGGGAAAGTCTGAGAGAGGCATCTTCAGTTTGCATGCACAGCATAGATAGTACCTACATATTTAATTCTGTTAGCGGGAGATAAGTATTTACACCACAGTGGAGCTGTCTCTGGGTACTGTCTCAGTTTCCTCATGAGACCAGTCAGCCCTGTGGAGCCACACACCAGCCCAGGCAAGTGGGGTGTGTCTGGGGAGCCCTGGCACATCCCCTGTCCTATCCCCATCCCAGGTGCTGTGGGATCCTCATTCAATTGCTTCCCCTTCTCTGACTCCAGTTTCCCATCTGTGCTGTGAAGAGAGCAGTACATCGCAGCTCTGTAAAGCTTCTTCCTCAGCCTGGCTGCCCCTCCAGTGTGAGGCTTTGTGGGATGTGAGCTCAGGCAGTGCCCAGCCTGCCCGCAACGAGTCTCCTGCCACTTGCCCTGACCTCCTCTGCTTGTCTGCTTTGCAGGAGCGCTTGCTGACAGGGTACCTTGCATGGAGAAAGGGAGCAGAGCAAACCACGTCACTCCACCGAATGACACCAGCTGGTCCGCTCACCACCCCCTCTGGCTAAAAGTCCAGCAAAGAAAGCAGCTTCCTGTCATGAAGCCCCGAGGAGGAAGCCTCGGTCCCACGGGTGCCTTTGACCCAGAAGACAGCACATCATGGACCCACACAGTGTGCTCAGCATTCCTGCGACCATCCCCTCTTCTCCTCTTGGAACGCTTTTTCCTCTTGGTTTCTTGCTGGGGGGGATTTTTCACCTGGATTTCAAAAACCACACGGACCAACATAGGTACTTTTCCCTCACTGACTTCGAAGTTCAGATATTTGAGACTGGACAATGATATGGATTTTTTTTTCTTTTATTTTTTTTTCCTTTGAAAAACTGCTGTGGTTTTGCTGCTACACTAAGAATCGTGATTTGCATTGTATGGTTTTGGACCTATTCAAGTTTTGATGGGGGAAAGGGGTAATACTGGAGTAGCAACACTTCAGAGTCATCTCTGTCCTACCCATGATGCACTTTTAAATGAAGAGTTAGAATATTTTATTGGCTAATATGCTTTCCTTGTTATTTTTACAAAGGCCACCTTTATCCTTTCTAATGCCATATTTTCAGTGTTACACTTTTATGGCTTTTAATTTTTGATTTGACAGATGTAAGAAGCAGCATGAATAGTTTATACTGTGGTTTTTCAGAGACTGAATGCCAAGAGAACTCAGTAAATGTTTATTCTTCTCAGCTTTCTCTTTAAATTCCCCTAAATAGCGCCCCATTTGGGAACAGAGCAAGAGTGTTGAACTAAAGACCAAAATTCCCTCAAGGTGTAAAATAATCTGAGGGGAATATTTGCTGGGCGTCACGAAAGACTTGGATGAAATTTCAACCCTGATGGTTTTCAGTGATCCAGGAAGGCAGTGAGACAATCTCTCCATATGCATAGCCCTTTCATGATAATTAGAATGGTATGGACAAACCAATGAAAACAAGGGTAAAGTGAGAAAGATCCCCCATGATTCTGTTTCACTGTTTGCTTTCTCCTGTCATGGTTAAGAGAAATGTGCAATTTGATCCTCAATCAGTGGGTGGAGGATAACAGGGTAGAATTTACTTGTGTGCACTTGTACAGTTGTAGCCAAGAGTCCAAAAGTACACTAGAGCATGTTATACTGGCACTGAATTGGTAAGAGAGTCGTGGAGTATCCCATTCTAACAAATACAAAAAAAAAAAAAAAAAAGCCAAAAAAAAAAAACTAAAAAAAAAAAAAAAAGCAACCCATAAAACCCCCACAAAAATCAAAAAGAGAGAAAAAAATCCTAAAAAAAAATATTTCAGATCACCTTGTGATTCAGTGTAACTGTTTACTAACTCGAATAAAGCAATTGTTCACTCTTGAGTGTTCAGAGTACACCTTTTCTATAAGGCTGCTGTGGGGAAGTGAGTTTGCAGGAGCAGTGTCTGTGTCAGTGGTGTTGGGAGCAGGGCAGCAGAGTCAGCTGAACCAGAGCCTTGTAGTGATGGTGCACTATGAGCACTATGTATATACTGTATTTCTATATTTTCCTTTGTACAGTTTCACTTAAGTCAAGCTACTGTTTTACAGGTGCTCCTTATTTATTAGAGCTGTGAAAGCTTGGAAATCACACCGGGCGAGTAAGCTCGCTTTTTAAAAAAAAAAACAAACAAAAAAAACCCAATAAAAAAAAAGGGGGTGGGGAGGGAATTCAACTCCTGAGTCTAGGGAGAGAGCTCAAAAACATCCCGACAAAACATCTTCAAGAGAGCAAGAATCTGAAGCACCCTCAGCGTGCTCTGCTTTCCTTTTGGGCTTGCAACTCTCTTCTCTCTCCCTGACTGGTGTCAGATTTATTAAAACAAAATAAATCTCCAAGAAAAAAAATGCACTTAAATGTGCTGTTGTTTATTTTATTTTTTTTTTCCTTTTTGTGCATGTGGTTATTCATTCCTCTACCTGCCTGGTCACAAAAAAAAACCCTCTCAATCTGAAGTCCCAGAAAAATATGTGTAAGTGTTCTTGATAGCTGCATCTATGTTCCTTCCATCTTCATGCCTCTCTTGACAGTTCTCTGTTTCTGCAGTGTTTAAGGCATGGGGAGAAAAACCCATGCGCTCACCCCAGTGTAGAGTTAGGTCCTGATCCTGGAGAAGAGCCGTGGATAGATGCACTGGCTGCAGCTTCATTCATTTCAAGGGGATCTATCCAAGCACAGTTTGCTCATGCTGCACCTGTGGCAGTGCAGAGAGTGTGTTCTGCCTACCTTTTGTGAGGATGGGGCTATTCCGTGTATGAACTGCCCCTGAAATCACAGGTTCTTCAAAGCACCAAACCCTCCCAAGTGCCCCCAGACCTCTGCAACAGCTACCTTACACAATAGTGTTTGGTTCTAAGCTCTTGGCCAGCACAGCCAGCGCTGCTGATGGAGGGATTGGAAACGTCCATTGAGCTCTGGAACTATTGGATGGTTTCATTAACCAGCCATGTAAGGCAAACAACAGCCTAAGTATGCCTGCTTGGAAGGGCATGCAGACTAAAGCTTGTCTCCCTGTAAACAGCTTGCCGCATCTCTATTTATTCATATGAACTTGGCTGTAAAACGAAGGCTGTGTGTGTTGATTTTGCTTTTGTCAGTGGTCCAGAATTGTTAGCACACATTTTCACTTTTCTGAAAAACAACAGACTCTTTAGAGAAATCTTTCTCTCTGGTGAACTGTTTTTGTTGTTGGTTTGGTTTTTTCCCCCAGAAATGGAATCAGCTTGTCAAAAATCATCAGGACAGCAGAGGTAGAGAAAGTGATCTAGGCTGGAGCTGACTTCACACATTTCCAATGATCACAAATTTACCTTAGCTTTCCTGAAGATCTGCCCGTTTTACACTTTCCTAACAACTTACCCCAAAATTCATAATGTGAACAACTGCTTTGGACAGCTGAATCAGTTCATTGTTTGTTATTTTAAAAATATCTCCAGCTGCATATATGGGGAGAAATATCCAAGTACACATAAACCTTGAGGAAAATTTAGACCAAATGGTATGATACATTATGCAAGAGAAACCTGCTTTATTTTTGAGGCCAAATCCATCCCTTGTACGATGCCAACAAAATGAATGGAATTACACAAAGGATGTAAAGGTCCTTTGCAATTAGTGGGAACCCAGCAAACTTGCAGAACAGTGCTTGCTCGCTGCTGATGTTATTTATTGCTTACTAAGACCTAATAGTCAAGCCAAACTCTCTCCTGGAGAACTTGCTACCAAGGAGCCAGACAAAGGAAATCCTGATGCACTGGGAGATACAGGGGAAGGTTCCTGCGTGCAACAGCCATCGCTCCAGCTCTTGCACATGTAGAGATTTGAGATGCAGAGATTGTCTTCATGAGCAGAGAGAAGCAGCTTTGCCTGAGGTTTCTAAGCAGCCAGCCCTGTGTCCATCCCTTCACACTGCTGGGGCAGAGGAGGAGTTTGCTGTGATCAAGCTGCACGGGTCCTTCTGCTAGCCCTAAATTCTTAGTGTCTTCGTGAATTTTGCCCTTGTGATAAGAGGGGGCCTATGTGCTGCAAACACTCCGCATTAATTTGCTGTGTTGTCTTAAATGATTTTGAGGGGTTTATTTTTTTTTCGAACTACTACACATGACAGTTTTTGAGTGGCCCAATTCCATGAATAAGGATGTCCCTCAAAATGAAAACAATTTGTGCTTTTTCCATGCTAAATTATAGAAATAAATTTGCTTTTTTCAAATAAGTGCTGCGAGCCAAATTTGCAAGGATGCTTATCCAAGTGAGATATCCCATTCTGAGGTCCATATTTGGACACCCGAATCAACACTCAGCCAAACACATGCATGAGGCATTTCAGTGCCATTTGGAGTGTCCATATATAGAACTGGATGCCCTAACTTCATTGCCTTTGTTTTAAAAATAGGCCTGGGATATGTAAAGGCATCATTTAATAACAACTATGACAAACATTCTGTGCTCAAACTAGGAGCAAATTTGCTGAGGCTGGTTCAGGTGGATTCCCTGGAATTGCTCTGGATTTACAGAGGTGTAACTCAGAAAAGAAGCAGTCTCAAGTTCCTTTGCCTTCCACTCCCACCCAAAGCTGTCTTGATGTTTGGGATCTGTAAATAGGGAAAGGTGGTACTCAGGCAGTAGCCATACACGCAGCAGAGGGAGAGTCAGGAACTGGGTTGAATTTGCTTCATATTGATCATAAATGCTCAAATGTTTTGGAATGGGTAGAACATCTTTACAAAGGCTTGCACACATTTTATTTGTCCTTTACGTGGTATTGGGCAAAGAAATTCATTGCTACCTTGAGCAACACTGGGACATTTTCCAGAAAACGTAGGACACACCAGCAAAACACATAGCTGTGAAAAACACAGCTGAACAGCTGCTCTTGGCTGTTTGCTTCCAGCAATGGTGGGAGCATAGACCCTCTGAGGTGCAATGGATGCTGGCTGCAGGACACTGCAACACCTCCAAAGGAGACAGGGTATCTGATACAGGGCTGCCCCTCAGCCTGTCACGTTGGCCAGTCAAGACTTGTTGAGACTTGAACCTCTGTGACACTGTGAGGAACAGACCCAGCCAAAGGGAATTAAAAAAAAAGAGTAACTCATGCCACTGACAGCCTCTTTTCTCAAAGCTGTTCCCTGGTCTCTAAAGCATCATACCTTCCTGTTGGAGAAGGTAAGTTCCCAGCCACTTCACCCACTGCTCTACTGAAATAAGTTTTGCAAGGATACGCAAGACACAGAGAAGCAGCCAGATGCACTGACCAGGACCTTTCCTTACAAATGATGCAAGTACCTAAAAGTTGTGTGCCCCTACACACACACAAGCCCAGGTACTTGACTGTCACAGGAGAAGGGGCAGCCTCACCTGCTCCTCATGCATGGGGCTCTCTGGCATCCAGGCAGCCCATGCTTGCAGGTGGGACGCTGCCCCAACTGGGGAGTAAAGCTTGGTTATTATTATCTAGGATAGCTGAGAACAGAGATGTGCTGTGATTCCCACCTCTCAGCAGGCCTACTTTATCTTTGAAAGACCTTGCTGGACC